AATAACATTATTATTCATATCAGTAAAGCCAAAGGATGTTTTTAATGCTATTTATAAGTTTTTTTCAAATTAAATAAAAAGTCTGGATAATATTTTTCATACAAAGCAAATTCTTTAACACTGTTATAGAACTGTAAATATAATAATATAAAATACAAAATTAAGCTTCAGAATCTGTTGTTACAAATATCTTAATCAAAACTGTAGCAAAATAGAGAACATTTCAATTATCAAGAATTTACTTCAATAAAAAATAATATTAAATATCATTATTGAAAGTTCTACATGATTTTTAACAGATGAAACAATTTAGCAAAAAATCTGGAAAGTTTAAACAGGTTACAACCATCAGATTTATTGGCCAAATTGTAGATTTATTTTGAAGAAGGCTACGAATATTTAATTATAAGTGGACAGCACTGACTGTAGTTAAAATACATTCTAACAAAGGGAAGTTTGTGCATTCTAATGCCATGTTGCAGAACTTGCATATCTGGGCGACTTTCAGCTGGAAATTTGTGGAAATTACATATTTTGACATGTCAGTATGTTATTATTTTATCAGAGTTGAACTAGGAGTTATAGACATAAAAAGTACAGCACTCAAGCATTGTCTACAATTCATTCAGAATTTATTATAGGATCTACTTTTCTTAGAATATGAAGCCTTTAAAACATTAAAAGAATTCATACTTTACAATTTTAAAAAACCCATTAATTGGTATTCAATATTGTCTTGAACACACTTGTATTATTCATTAACTTTGCTAGAATCACCTTAATATTCAAACATATATTAAAAAAATTATTACTTGCTTTTATCAGACAATTTTTAGGGAGAACTTACTCAAACCCTCTGCCAAATTTTACTCGTGGTACTCAAAAATATTGCACTCTGATCATCCGTCCTTCCTACCTTTATAAGTCATTAACTTCAACATGAAAAAATACTTTATACTATTATATCTAAATAAGTTTAATTTTTACTCTGCAACATCTATTATTTGACTACAAAAATTTTCTAGATATTTAAGAAATTAAAAATTGCTAATGTAAATATAAATACTAATTATTGTAATGATTGTGACTTATGTCATTTGTAGTTATTTTTATAGTGTCTTTTTTTTGCTATTGCATTGTTCAAACATTACATGTTTGAACAGTGATACCACTTTTTATTAAACATATTCCACCATTCTAGGGGTAATACACCTATCATAGGAATAAACTGACTGAATTAATTAATATTACGAATAAAATATGTTAATTATATGAAACAATTTTTTAAATTTTAAATTTAATTAAAACAATAATAAAATATACATAGTTCAAAGTTATAAAACCAAAAAATTAGCCTGCAGAATTCCACTTATTATTGACAATCTCACCATAATAAAATGAAATGATTCTACAGTGTAATTCTGATAACTAGTTATGTTTTAATGACAATGTTCATTTTAAAATATCCTTACAAATTCTGCTGTATTTGTTATAATACAGAAAAAGAATGTTTGACTGGAAAAATTTTTGAAAATATTTTGCACAGAAGCAACTAAGTTAAGAAATAATATTACATTAAAATCTACAAAGATTTCATTATATAAGAGTCTGACATTTCAGTATCTTATATAATACATAAAATTAGACTCTTTCATGTCATTTATTGTAACCAAAAAATTCCTTTATATTATATTATAAATATTATTGTAATAAATTATTATAAACTGAATTAGAATAATATTTCACTTTTTAATTAAATAATTATAATCATTCTTTAAGAACATGCATACAAAAACATTATATTATTTATTTTTAACTATTAGGTATACATACATAAATTATCTTTAATATAGCACAATAGAAATTTGGCATATTTGGTAGAAGGTATATTATATGTAAACATTTTAATTATCATGATAAATCATTTTCTTTCAAAGTAATTGACTTAGAATATTATTTACATATAATAATCCACAAAGTACAGTTACAGTACAAAATTAGAATCAAGAATCCCATTATATATTCTAATTTATTTCAGCAAAGTACAGTACAATCTCAGTAATTGGTCATTCACTAGTTCAACACATCCAACAGTCAGACACTAGTTAACTCTCAAGTATTACCAGCACTTTTCCCAATATGTAGACAAGTTTTCATTATTCAAACCAGTTTCCACTAAATATGAATATATTTCCTCTAAATGTAGCATATTATCAAGCCAAAAACAAACAGAATATGACATTATAAAAATCAGTCTCCTGAAATTTCCAAACAAAATACTGCACCTCCACTATATGTTTTGCAGTCAACTTTTCACAAAATTGGCAATACTGATTACTGGTGATTAAAGCATGTCATATACATATACAGCAAAAGACAACTGACATATTTCTTGCTATTCTCTCTGTTTTTGATTAATTCATTCTTCTAATATCATAGAAATAAATCAATCTTTGTGAATGACTAAACATCAAATTAACCTTACTTCCAATTATCTAAAAATATCCTTAATCAGTCATCAAATACACATTAGTCTTTGTAATCTTAGATTACCAAGATTACTGTATATTCAAATGCACCTGATTAAATATGTAAACAATCCAGAAATCATTTGGCTTTAATATCTAAGATTAATCACATTTTAATTATGTAGTACCTTTAATTAATAATAGTTTATATATAATCTCATATTCATTACTATACAGAAAATATATATTTATATTATTTATAAACCTAACAGAAAAAAAGTTTTAATCATTTTTGCAAAGCAATTCCATTGAAGAAAATTTGGAAGAAGCTCCTTTACAATCATTTATTTTAAAAATACATGAAAATATTTCTGTATAATAATCTTCAAAGTTCAGTTATAAAACCACAAAATTAACTTCGGAATCCCATTTATTAAATTCTTTTTTAATGGAATTTCACCAATCTATATTTAAATGTATTTAAGTTTGTGGTTTTTTTGATGGTTTAAAACATTTCTTTGATTAAAAATATGCCTATAAATTATTTTATACTTACTATAAGAATACAGAAAATATTTAACATCATTTAAAAGCACATTGAAAGATAATTCTGTGTTTTTGCAGACAAAAAATTTTTATTAAAGAAAATACTGTATAAAAAGCTTCTTATAGATCATACTTTATAAATGTATATAACTTCTACCAAAAACTCCATAAAAATCAGTGCTAGATCACGTCTAAGCATGAGCCATGCATGCCTAGGAATGATCTGAGTTGGGCCCCAGTTCTCTGGGGACTCAACCTTATGGGCCCTGATTCTGAAAAAAAAGTAGAAGTGAAACAATTTTACCATTGGTATTGTATATCATACTTTATAAATAGTTCTGTAGTTATAATTACATATTCTTAGTTTATAATATAGTTTATGAAGTAGGGCCCAATCATCCATTCCTAAGACCCTCAAAAAATCTTAATCCAATTATAAAATTAAGTTCAAATCCACATTTATCATCTTCCTTTTATTAACTTTCCCCAATCTATGTTAAAACACATCTAGCTTAATTGTGTTTTAACAACATACCTAAAACCATTCTTTGACTAAAGCTGCACTCACTTTATACTCATTACAATAAAGCACAAAAATATTTATTTTTGGTACACCTCGAATTTAATCAGAAAACACTCTAGATAATTCCGAATCTAATAACTGAGCTTTACATTCTGGGTTAACCAACCGTCGGTGGCAAATTAAGACCTTTCCGAGACCCTCACATCGGGTGACTGGACATCATGTTTTGCCCGTTTTCAATATTCGACAGTAGAATCAATCTTTAAATACAGCAATTTTATTAACACATCAATACAAGATTACCAATTTACAGACGAATAAATAAAAATATTTAAAAAAATAATCAAATTTCAATCCATCTCAGACACTGAAATGCATGCCCGGTCAGATTATTTACAACCGTGTTCAGCAGAGTCAATAGTCGTAATCGAGCAAAGACATTTCACTCAGTAGCCATTACATAGTTAGATCCGCCTAATGACGAGCGGCATAAAGGGACGATGCTACTAAATACGACATCAATCTGACAAATGCAGCCATCGTTACGGTCGCCCTACCTTAGGCCCAGAAGATTGGGGCCCGTTAGTTTACGACGAAAAAGGGCCCTTTTACACCATAAACTAGTAACATCTAATTTTAGCTAGAGAAATACTTATACCAGTCGACCCCCCTATAACACTGTTGATAATTCCGTTTTATATGAATTCCATGTTGTACGAGTCACTTAGAGTTTACAAATACGTCAGCCGTTCACAGCCCGGCACATGTATTTGTAAAATCTAAGTGACTCGTACAACATGGAATTCATATAAAACGGAATAATCAACAGTGTTATGGGGGGGGTCGACTGTAAATTATGATATACAGTACAATCAGAAAGCAACTGTATTTGAGGAAAACTTGTACAATAAAGAACATTCAAAGCCCCTTATAAAACCACAAAATTCCATAGAAGTTAATTCTGGGTAATTTTGTGTATTTGATAGAAACAATGAAAGGATTTGAGTAAAACACCCAAATCTTTTCATTGTTACAAATCTGAGTAATCTACATCCAAATAAAACATAGATAATTTATCAATTTTTAATTTATCTACAACTTTCCTCCATTAAAATCACGTACATAAATAGAACAGGAACCATCTTTACACTTCAATTTAAATGATTTCAAATATTCCACCGTATAAACCTTAATTGTATACAACTACGCCGTAGACGATGACGAATTTAATTAATTTCAAAGGTAAATTTTGTAATTATTCATCGAATTACGTCACAAAACGTGTTATTTATTCGAAATCGTTCAGTTTATTCATTAATTTACCCGTAAATGAATAAATTTTCGTTTATCGTCTTTTGTAACAGACGACGTAATTCATCCTGTGGATCGTTAGGCCTAACCGAAATTTCGCAAAATGCTCGGTAACCGCTTATTTAATAATTATATTGGATTTATATACTTACTCTTTTGATCTCTGCATCGGTAGCGTGTCTAGAAACTCCTAATAAATCGTATAGTTTTGTATCAGCCATTGTTTTAATCGTTTATCGTATCTAAGCCTTCTTACAATGAATATCTGTTCCTAAAAGAATGACGCCACCTACAAGTTTCGATTCCTCGATACAAAATCAATTTTTTTTTTTTTT